TTTGTTGTGAAAGCTAGGTACACTTTTAATATGTTGAGAAAGCTAGGTGTGCGTTAATTGTTGAGAAAGCTAGGTGTGCTTTTAATTTGTTGTGAAAGCTAGGTGTGCTTTTAATTTGTTGTGAAAGCTAGGTGTGCGTTTAATTTGTTGCGAAAGCTAGGTGTGCTTTTAATTTGTTGTGAAAGCTAGGTGTGCTTTTAATTTGTTGTGAAAGCTAGGTGTGCGTTTAATTTGTTGAGAAAGCTAGGTGTGCTTTTAATTTGTTGTGAAAGCTAGGTGTGCTTTTAATTTGTTGTGAAAGCTAGGTGTGCTTTTAATTTGTTGTGAAAGCTAGGTGTGCGTTTAATTTGTTGAGAAAGCTAGGTGTGCGTTTAATTTGTTGAGAAAGCTAGGTGTGCTTTTAATTTGTTGTGAAAGCTAGGTGTGCTTTTAATATGTTGAGAAAGCTAGGTACACTTTTAATTTGTTGTGAAAGCTAGGTGTGCGTTTAATTTGTTGAGAAAGCTAGGTGTGCTTTTAATTTGTTGTGAAAGCTAGGTGTGCTTTTAATTTGTTGTGAAAGCTAGGTGTGCTTTTAATTTGTTGTGAAAGCTAGGTGTGCGTTTAATTTGTTGAGAAAGCTAGGTGTGCTTTTAATTTGTTGAGAAAGCTAGGTGTGCTTTTAATTTGTTGTGAAAGCTAGATGTGCTTTTAATTTGTTGTGAAAGCTAGGTGTGCTTTTAATTTGTTGAGAAAGCTAGGTACACTTTGATTTTGTTGAGAAACCTAGGTGTGCATTTAATTTGTTGAGAAAGCTAGGTACACTTTGATTTTGTTGAGAAACCTAGGTGTGCATTTAATTTGTTGAGAAAGCTAGGTACACTTTGATTTTGTTGAGAAACCTAGGTGTGCATTTAATTTGTTGAGAAAGCTAGGTACACTTTGATTTTGTTGAGAAACCTAGGTGTGCATTTAATTTGTTGAGAAAGCCATTTTGTTGAACTCCTATTCAGCTTTGTGTAAGAAAATAAACAAACCACAGTTTTAAAAAAAAAAAAAAAAAAAAAAAAAAAAAAAAAAAAAAAGCTGAACATGGTTTTTTTTCATTTTGTTCAAATAATACAAAACAATCCGAGGAAGTAAAATTACCAAATTAGGCATTGAACATAGTGATGAGTGTTCAGTATCTGTAATCTGTACGTCTGATTCTGCAATATCTGCTGTACAATGTAGATTCTCATACTTCAGTGACTTGCGTCAAACAAGTCTTCAAAAAAAGTTGCAAAAGATCTGGGGAAACAAGGTACCAGATAAAGACTAAACATGGAACAAAACCTTTATTCAACATCCTGTTCTATATTTCTGGTTATTCATTTCCCCTGGGATACAAGTACAAAAACAGATTAAATTTCGATTTTTGGAGATGCTTTTATGCCAATAAAACATGACATGGTTTAATAATCCTAGCTTTCTCAACATAACCATTTAAATTGTAGTACTGCATTCTTTTATTACCGGTAGTAGCACATAAGCTTAAGTAATTAGAGATCTATGGGCGAAATAATTAATATTTTAATTATTGAGTATACAGCAATTGTGATGTTGGGTTTGTATGCCCTTCTTTTGGAGATGCACTTCTAATAGAACAAATATGGTATTGCTGCTTATTGCGTAATTAACAAAAGTGACTGCAGATAATCCAAACGCACTAGTGTAAACTTTGCATAAATTAACTGAGAACTACTGAAATAAGCTTTACAAATTATATCCAAAACATATTTCAATTTCAAAAATAATTATTAAAATCTTTAAAAATAAACTACTATTTACAAAAAATCAATAACAAAATCAAATTTCTATGTTTTTGCACATTAATTTGTTACTGTATATACCATCATGGGTTATACCATTTATCTATATAGGGCAACAATGATAGAAAATATCACAGATAATTGATCCCCTCCACTTTAAAATGGTACAATCCAAAATATGGTACAATCTGGTGGCAGCCCTGTGAAAAAAAAAAAACTGCCGCTTGACAAAGAGAATAAATATTGTGACATATAATATACAACTGCGAATGAATTACAGTCAACAAGCATGAGAGAACACGTCAGATTTCAGTCAAGATTGGCACTAGTTAAAAAACATTTTGATTTTTTTTTTCTTTGGCACCAGTTTCAGTGATCTCCCTGTAATATTATAATAGAATACTGCATATTCTGCAATTAAATGAATATATTATTTCTATAGTTTGCAATTATTATGCAAATTGCTCTATTGTTTCTGCAAAAATTAGTTGAAATTAATTGTTAAAATGTTCTGGGAAAACACTGGCTTCTTTTGTACCTGTAAAACTGAATCCGAGTATCAAATAGAAATTCCAAAATGGGAAATGTCATCTTCAACGTGACCACTAATAAAATATTTCTTGCTGTTAATTTCTCAAAAACTCATGTTTTGTAGAATTTATTGCAATTTACTAACTTTCCTTGTGAATGAAAACCAGAGAAAATTAGGTGAAACAACATACATCTCTAAACTTCTATGCAGGGTGGGGGGAGAGGGTAGTTGCCAACAATTTGTGAAATTAACAGAAAATAAGTTATTTCAGATATTTCAAGAATGTGTACTCTGTTGACCTCCATGACATGGAGAGAAAAAATATTTTTTATCCGAGGTTCCTTAAAAATTTGTGGTAGCTTTGTGACGTTAACACCACATTAATTTGTATAATACCTGAAATTAAATATTTATAAAATTCACAGATGTTCCCATTTTGAACTGCCAGAAATAAAGAAATAAAAACAGCAAGGTAGGTGAAAACATTCAAACTGGTTTGACATTTTCAAAACTTAGTAACTGTAATAAAAAGAACAGAAACGCATCATCCCTTCACAACCTACCCTCTCCCCACCATGATTAAAATAGAGCAGTCTTAAAACATTTATAAACAAATTACAAATGTAGTATAAATACACTGACAGAATCTATTAATCGTTCATAATGTTAGACAAAGTATAAATTTTTTTGAACATTTTGATTGGCAAATTATGTAGACGATGATTTTGTTTAAATATAAAATATCTATCATATAAACTATAATACAAAGTATTTTCATATTTGAGTAAATTTCATTAAGTACAAGATTTGTGTTTTGGAAACATACACATGTAAATTTTTCTTTGTAACTATTGTTTTTAAATTCATATCAAATGGAGTAGTGTTTGTTTGCTCACCAATTCATCAAAAAAAACCAGTATACTGTCAAATGTGTTTTAAAAACCGCAGCTTCTATTAAAATGATACAATGCAACTGAGAGGATGCGGCTTCTATTAGAGCATCTACACATATGAGAAATGGTGAATTTTTGTTCTCATTTATTAAAAATTAATAGGTACGACTTCTATTAGGGATGCGGCTTCTAATACAGATTTTACGGTAATTGTCAATTTGGCAAGCTGGAATATACAGCACCATTTACAGTGTGTCACATAAAATGACTAGTGTGACACGCATTCATTGTGACTTCAATGTGACACATATTCAACGTGAAATGCATCAATGTGATATGTGTAAGTGACATGCATTTATTATGATATGTGACGCAAAATATATCAGTGTGGTACAGCCGATATGGTGTATTATGTGACACATAGATGTGGTATGTCCACTAGGGTTAAAGTTGCAAACAAACATGTCAACAAGGATGTAACAACATGGCATGTTATCAGCGAAAATATGGAAATAAAAATTGAAAAATAGCAATGTGATATGGTGATTGTCCTGCATAATTTGTTGGTGTCATGATGTTGGGTCGATCCCTCCCTTTTCTATCATGTGTTCAATTGTTAAACACAATCATTTGAATGAATGTTAAGTTTTGATACAGTTTGCTAGCAACTTTTTGATTTTAAATTTATGTTTTGTACAGTCACCATTGACATTATATGGTACCTGGTCTTCTCTATGGATTACTGGCAACTTTAATGTATGCAAGCCTCCCATAAACTGTGTTTTTTGTTGATACTTCAGCAACCTGGTTTCAATGCACAATTCAATAAATAAGCTGATTGCCAAAAAGTGAATAATTAGTGATTATAATTATTACACTAATACTTTAGTGTAAACCATTTTAATTTCACAAAGAGACAAATTTGTATGTGGTCGTAAAGATACAGACTGAATGTTGAAAATGTTTGGCAGGTCAAATTGAGAAATTACAGTACCGCGGTAGTTTTAATGGTGATGGTAGTCGCACCACATCCTACTCTACATGGGACTTATAGCAATGTACACAGCAACGTATGTCGTTTGTTTCCATGGAAATCAAACAATGCTGCGTGGAGACCACCACCCACTAAGAGCACAATACACTGTATGTGTCACAGTGCTCACATTCATAAATGATACATATGAAACTCTCATCCTGTTCTAAAGATGAGACTCTGTGATTCCATCTGTCTCTCCATCTGATAAGTTTTCTTCTCTCGCTAACGGTGTCCTATGTTGTCGTTTGGGCGGTAACCGAACACTTTGACTGGCGTAAAACGATCTCGCAAATGGACGCATAGGTTCAGATGAATCTCCATTTTCATCTTTCTTGGATTTGGATGATGATGTCGCTATTTTGGATGGCATATCTACAGAAAACAATAACAATTAGATTACATTACGAACAAAATAACTTGCATAAAATACAATTTTACCCAGTTCTTTTCTTTGTATAACAAAAATGAACATTAAACAATTTATATATATTCAGATAAATTCTAAAAAACAGAACATGTAAAATGACTGGTGCTAAAATCTGATAAGGTATGGGGTGTTGCTATGGTACCGGGTATATTTGTAGCAAATTTCATTCAAATCTATTTGGTGGAAAATGCAGTACATCTTCTGTGGTCTTTTCAATTTCATTCTAAAAAGAAATTATAATATCTACTAATCCACATATTTTCAAACATTCAAAGAAAAGAGAACAAAATAATCAAGACAGATGAACTTACCAGAAGAGTGAGAGTTCATTGTGAGGTTGTCCACCGAACTAGACATGCTACGTAAATTAATAACAGGTATCTTGTAAACCCAGTGATCGGAAAATGAAGAACTTGTTGTAGAACTTGATAAACTATTATTCGTACAAAGATTGCTACGTTGGTAGAAGAGCAAATATGCACTGGGTGTAACAATCTCAGTGTCTGTGATACGTGTTACTTTGGTATCATCAAACAAGTACCAATCTCCATTTATTGGATTCTTACACATAGCTATAGAAAAAGACAATATCCCTGTTATAGCATAGTAAAGACTTATCAATATAATGACTAACCTTAAAGACGACAAGACAAATTCATATTTTTACTGGAGACATTCATTCATTCATTCATTCACAATTCCCCCTCCATAAGAATCTAAGTTACTGAAGAAGACTTACTACAACAATTTTCACCCTATATATTTGCAGTACATCATAAATAGTATATCAATAAATGCTAAAACTTTACTTTAAACACATGATATATGGTGTAATTTGTAATCAAAATGTGGAATTACACAAACTATTTCTATCTTCAATATGACTATACATTACGGTTTCCAATAACAGTGGCATATACTATATATTTACCTTCATAATGCCCTACTCTAATATCAACAAATACAATGACCAGACAAAATGTGCCAACCCAACAATGAACTGCTTAATGACCACCTATAACATAACTGACCTGTATATTTCATAGCTCCAATAACACAGACCTGTACAATGTTCACCCAAATAAAAGGGACGTGTCTGGTGCTACCTCTATAATGCCAACCTGAATAATGTTCACCTCTAATAATTTTGACCTTTATAACAGCAACCTCCAATAATACTGACTTGTATAATGCCATCTTCAATAATATTGACTTGTACAATGCCCTTATAAACTATAATAATATAGATCTGTATAATAGCAACCTCTGATGATATAATGGCCACCTCAAAACACTAACCTGTATGATGGCAACCTCAATAATTAGACCTATAGAATGGCCAGCTCAATAATACCAACTTGTAAAATGCCACCTCAATAATACTGACGTGTATTATGCCATCTCAATAATACTGACTTATAAAATGCCACCTCAATAATACTGATGTGTATTATGCCATCTCAATAATACTGACTTATAAAATGCCACCTCAATAATACTGACTTGTAAAATGCCACCTCAATAATACTGACTTGTAAAATGCCACCTCAATAATACTGACTTATAAAATGCCACCTCAATAATACTGACGTGTAAAATGCCACCTCAATAATACTGACTTGTAAAATGCCACCTCAATAATACTGACTTGTAAAATGCCACCTCAATAATACTGACTTGTAAAATGCCACCTCAATAATACTGACGTGTATTATGCCATCTCAATAATACTGACTTGTATAATGCCACCTCAATAATACTGACCTGTGTAATGCCATCTCAATAATACTGACTTGTAAAATGCCACCTCAATAATACTGACCAGTATAATGCCACTTCAAAACACTAACCTGTATGATGGCAACCTCAATAATTAGACCTATAGAATGGCCAGCTCAATAATACCAACTTGTAAAATGCCACCTCAATAATACTGACGTGTATTATGCCATCTCAATAATACTGATGTGTATTATGCCATCTCAATAATACTGACTTATAAAATGCCACCTCAATAATACTGACTTGTAAAATGCCACCTCAATAATACTGACTTGTAAAATGCCACCTCAATAATACTGACGTGTATTATGCCACCTCAATAATACTGACTTATAAAATGCCACCTCAATAATACTGACGTGTATTATGCCACCTCAATAATACTGACTTGTAAAATGCCAGCTCAATAATACTGACTTGTAAAATGCCACCTCAATAATACTGACTTGTAAAATGCCACCTCAATAATACTGACTTGTAAAATGCCACCTCAATAATACTGACTTGTAAAATGCCACCTCAATAATACTGACTTGTAAAATGCCACCTCAATAATACTGACGTGTATTATGCCATCTCAATAATACTGACTTGTATAATGCCACCTCAATAATACTGACCTGTATAATGCCATCTCAATAATACTGACTTGTAAAATGCCACCTCAATAATACTGACCAGTATAATGCCACTTCA